CAGGTGAGAATTGTCGTAGTCGTTGCTTTATAGGCTTGGAGTTTTCATTGATATCAATTCTGTGCTCAGCCAACTCTCTTGGGACACCTGGCATGTCGGCCGGCTTTCAAGCGAAGATATCTTTGTTGTTCCGAAGAAAGTTGGTGAGCGCGAGTTCCTATTTTGCCGAGAGGTAGGCGCTGATGGTTGCTGTCTTAGAGGGATCGCCAGTGCCCAGGTCGATTTGCTTGATGTCGGCTTCTTTTGGTGGTGCGAGGATGCTGGACTTTTTAGCTGGTATATCTAGTTCTTCTTGGCTTATTTCTACGGCAATAGTGGCTATTTCTTTTCTTTCATTGTCGGCTTGTGCTTTGGCCGCGATTTGGATTGCCTGAACGTCGCAGTCAAAAGCGCGCTTCAAATCACTTCAAAGAGAAAGGACACCGTTAGGTCCTGGCATCTTAAGCAGTAGGTATGGATAATGTGGTATTGCCATGAATTTTGCTAGCGTTGGACGTTCGATGATTGTATGGTATGATGAATCGAAGTCTGCAACCTCAAACTTGATGAACTCTGTACGGTAGTTCGAAGGAGTTCCAAAAGTAACGGGTAGAGTAATTTGTCCAAGTGGCATGACTGCCTTGCCGGGTAATATGCCATAAAAAGGTGTACTTGTTGGTGTAATCATCCCGGCGAGTTGCAGTCCCATCTTTCTTAGCATTTCTGAAAAGATGATGTTGAGTCTGGCTCCCCCGTCGATTAGTACTTTGGTGACAGTCATACCGGCAATAGTTGGATCTAGAACCAGTGGGTAATGGCCTGCGTTTTCCACGCTAGTCCATTGGTCTTCTCTAGAAAATTAGATTGGATACTGTGACCAATTGAGATATCTTGGAATAGCCGGTTCTGCTATCATGATAGTCCGTAGTGCTAATTTTTTTTTATGTTTGCTTCTGTAATCTGGGGCCCCGGAGAAGATCACTGCTACCATCCCCCTGGATTTTTGGAATCATTTTGTCTTCGTGGTTGTCTTTATCTTTTTTTTTATTATCTTCTTTGGTGTTCTCCTTACTATCTTTTCTTGTGTATCGATCATTGAAGGTGTAGCAATTTCCGATGGTGTGCCTCTCATTAGGGTGTAATGGGCAACGTATGTTTTCGATGTCGTCATATCTTCTGGGTTTGGAAAACTTCTTTGATTTGTCAGCCATTGCCACGGTGTTGTCTGGTCTACGTTTTCTTTCCTGATGTCTGCTATTTCGATGATTTTGCTTGTCTGGGTTGTCTCGGTTGCTTCTATCTGGGAACCTCTCTCGTGTCTTCTCTTTTGCAGTAATCATCTTTTCTACTGTTCGTCTGAATTCTTCGTTGTTTCTCGGATTTTCTTTGCAGAAGTCTTGAAATTGCCACCTAGCCATGATTCCGTGAGAGAAAGCTTCAATTACTTCTCGTTCGGTGATGTCATGCACTTGAGCCCGTAGTTCGCCGAATCGTCGATATTAATCTCTGAAATTCTCACCTCCCTTCTGCTTGAGTCCTTTTAATTCTACGTGAGTGATCGGGTGTGTAATGATCCATACAAAATCTTTACAAAAAGCTCTTTGTAAGTCCTCCTAATTTCTGATTGATCCTGGATTTAATTTGTCGAACCATTAGAGAGGCATGGTTTTCAGGGCCATGGGAAAGAACATGGTCTTGATATCGTCGTCTCCTCCGGCTAGTTCAATTGATTGTGAATATATCCTGAGCCATTGCCTTGGTTTCGCTTTTTTACCATCATACTTAGAGTGGTTGGACGGTTTGAACTTGTGAGGTAGTCGTATTGACGCAAGTCTGTTTGCAAAATAGGGGAATCTATCGTGCGTTCTGGCTTCTTTGAATTCCGATTCGGCACCTTCTTCTGGCCAATTGTTGTTTTGATGAGAGTAATTCTGCGAGGCCGTCTGGGCAGGCGTCCTACTCCTGGTCTTTCTTGGTTGTTCAACTCGGTGGCCTTGACTATGATCCCTCCTACTTTCTCTGTTATGACTTCCACTTAGTCCAAGTCTTTCGAAAGCGGACTTTCATTGATTTTGATCTTCTTGCCTATGGGTTGTTGATCTGGCGGGTAGTCTTGATTGGGTTCTTTCTTCATGCGTCCTCGAGGCCGTTGACCGGAGCAAGTCCCGAAGCTATTCATACTTTTCACCGGGATGTGAGGTCGCTCTGAATTCTTCTAATGCTTCTCGGATCTTATCGTAGGGCGTACTTGCCGTGCGTCTTTCTTCGACTTCTAGTTGTGATTTTCTTCTATCGTACTTGGCCAACTTTGACTCATATCTGATCCAGGCTTCCTTGCGCTGCCTAGCACGGTGTTGGCGTCCTTGCTTCAACTTGTTTTTTCTTTCTCTAGCTTGTTTCTGATTCTCGGTTTCACCATCGTAGCCCTGGGCAAAGGGTGATATGTTGGATTCTGATTCATCCGATGACCTGACATCGGGTGCTTCTGGGGGGACCAATGGTAACCGAGGACGGCGAACCATGAGTACTTTCCGTGCGTGAATTGTTCTGTTGTTGGCGTTAGTTTCCACACTGTCGGAGTTGCTGGTAACTTTAGTAGAGGCCTCGAGGTCGTAGATCGAGTTTGCTTCTTGGTAAGGTAGAATAGCTGTCGTCATCGTGTCGTCCAGTCGGGTACTGCTATCCTCAGGAACAGAGCTCGGTCAGTGGACGATGCAGTCTTGAGATGTTATAGTCAGTACGAGACCTTCCTGAGCTCCCTTCAGTGGCATTTTAAGCACTAGGTCTAGGAATCCTTCGGACCGTGCCTGATTAGATGTTGCCATGTTGTGGAATCCGAGCGTTAAAGGATCCGACTTCTTGAAAAGATTCTACGTGTACTCCGAGTTATATTCTTGATAGGTCAGGGCCATGTTCTTAAGCCCCATCGGAAAAGAATTCGGTTTTCCGAAAGAACTCGGATATGATTCTATCTCAGATGCGGAGCCTGAATTCGAGTCGGATGCGCAAAGCCGTGAAACCTGAGTTGAATCAAACATCATGAGCTGCGCGAATCTTCCAGAGATTTGGTCTATCGTAGTCGCCGGAATAGAATAGTCTTCATGGTGTTTTGAATCTTCGAGGAGACGGCTTTGGAGCTTACCATTGTTGTCCGCTTCGCAGATCCACGAGCCGAAGATAAAAGTTGATCCCGTTGAGAAGATCATGTTGTTGAGGTCCATCGAGCTCTCGGATGCAAATTCGTCGAAGGCCCCTACCTGACGCACCAGCTGTCGATGTTTGACCACCGATAGCCTGCCACGGGGTCCCCGGGGCAGTATTGTTCGGGTTTCAGCGTATGCAGAACTCGATGGTGAACGCAAGAGACGGTCGATTTATCCTGATTCAGGCCCTCGATTGTGGTCGAGTAATAGCCCTATGTCCAGTCGACGTTAGCCTTTGTGTTGGATTAATGGTGTTGTAGAAATTGTGATCTCCCGTCTCTAGAAACCATATCCTTCTTTATTTAGTCAGGAGGTTAGAATCCTAGCCGGTTTACAATGAGAGTTCTTAGTAGAATTACAGGATAATACACTACTAAGATTACATGAAGAAAATTCTAGTTAGACTAGATCTTTTCTCCTCCTTACGAGGTATCCTGTGGGTCCCGCGACATATGCCCAATTTTCACATTTCCAAAAGCCAAACCACCACCCGTCCACCCCCCATTCTCTCTCTTTCCTTTCTCACCCCCGTGCCCGTCTCGCCTCGCAGCCGCCGCCGATGGGCTCCGGGGAGGAGCCGTCGCAGATGCGGAGGGCGCTGGTGGACTCTGCTCGCGGGCGCCATCTCCGGCGGCATCTCCCGCACCGTCACCTCCCCCCTCGACGTCATCAAAATCCGCTTCCAGGTCCTCCCCCCTCCCCCTAACCTCTCCTCTCCTCCCGTGGTACATTTTCCGGCCGGGCTGTCGCGGTGCTGCTCGCTGGGGCACCACCTGCTGTTTGTTCGCAAGCTAGGTATCGTAAAATTGCGCGGTTGGGATCACCTGGGGGAGTTTTTGAGGGTCTTGGCGTGCCTCTGGAGAGGCGGTAGGTTCGGTGTTTGTATACTGGAAGCTGTTTACCTCGTCTGATTCGCGCCTGCATTGCGTATCTGCAGGAATTCGGGGTATGTGAGTGCCTGCGGCTGCGTTTGTGTCCGTTTTTTAGCGTGGGATAGATACTGGTTCGATCAATTCGGAAATGGATTAGGTATATGTAGTATTTGAAGTCACGAGGTACACATGGATTAACTGATTAACTGCGTGGTTTGGGAGCGGTTTCGTCTCTGCGCTAACTGCTAGGCATGCTGTCTATTGATTTAGGATGATGTTGCCAGTTTTAGCTTATTTCCTTGTTGTGGTAGCCTGTCTGGGCATTACCTTATATGGTCACCGTACATTTAGCAGAAATGTTGATGAGTTCTACTGTTTTATGAAAGTAAGGGTGGGGATTGCTGTTTAATCAATTAATTAACTTTTGCAACCTCACCGGAACTGCTTTGTAATAAGCTTACCAAATGCCAATATTCATTTGGAAACATGCTTTTATTATGTGTAACCTTGATAAGAATCTCTGGATGTATGATTGATTATGGTTTTGAGGGCCCTGTTTGTCAGATAATGAACCGTTAATATCACTTGCTTAGTTTGCGCAAATTGGAGGTCTTCATTTTCTGCAAATATACCAAGAAATAATTAAAATTTATTTGACTAGGAGACAGTAAGATCGGAGTATCGGACTATTATGTGACAGAATAATTTTGTACCTGTACTTTTTACTCGACATTATTGCTTTCCCACTAAAATTTCCTGATAGTATTTTTTTACTTGATATTATTCCTTTCCCACTAAAATTACATGATAGTAATGAAAACAGCACAGATGCCATCGGGCGAAATGAAACTTTGCCCTTTTTACTACATTGTAATCTGTTACATATTCTATTGGTCAAGGCATATCCGTTTTGGATGTTCAGAGGCTTCTTCATTATTCTCTGCAGGTTCAGTTAGAACCCACAACCTCGTGGGGCATTCTTCGAAGGGATGTATATGGACCTTCCAAATACACTGGGCTTCTGCAAGCAACCAAAGATATTCTCAGAGAGGAAGGTTTACCGGTATCTGCCTTGCCTTGAACACTTCTTGGCTAATGCCATATTGAGCTATTGAGAAACAGACTAGTACAGATACTGTTGCTCTTGCACTTGCATGCCTCTATATAATAGGTTAAACTAAACAACATTGCACAGGATACCAGTACTGTTGCACTCTAACTGTGTCTTCTTACTAGGTAGAGTCCTGCCCTATAGTCTGGAATTGGAAGAATTCTGATTTTCCTTTTAGCAATCCATGTCTATTTGAGCTTTGTTTGGACAGAAATGTGTTTGGATTTTCCACAACTTCCAGTCTTTCACATTCCCATCTACTTGTTAGACACTGTCAGGTGGCTTTTCATCTAGACATGGACATATCGATATCTCACAACTCAATGAAGCTTGCTTGGCTCTCAACAAGCAAATCATCTAAGTTGTGGCAGTAAAAATGGGGTCATGACTTATTTATGTTCTGATGTAGAATACCAATGTTTCCAAATAGTCTAATCGACCGTAGTCGCCATGGCACCGACCAGCCCGACTAATCGTGACTAATTATGACTATGCCATGGCACCGATAAGGCCGACTAGTCGCAGTTATTCGGACGACTTGATAACCTTGCAGAATACATACTCACCATGTCCTTATGTCACACCTATAATGATATTTACGTTTTACTCCTGAAATCAATGATGCTAAAACCATGATGTTATATTTTTGCCTGTAAAGAATATGTTAATATATCGCATGCAAAATAAGTGAGGTGTTACTCAAGAAGGAAAGAAAGCATAGCCGAGGTCACCGGTCACCCTGTGCCACACTATAGCTTTGCATCCATCCAGTCTTTGTTCTGTTTCTTGCCTTTCTTGTGATCTGTGATAAGTGAGGTGTTTCTTGCCTTTCTCACTATTAGTATATTAATCTGTATATATGTTCTTACTGTGCAAGATTGTTACATTTCAGGGATTTTGGAGAGGAAATGTACCAGCTCTGTTGATGTATATGCCATATACAGCTATACAATTCACTGTTCTACACAAACTAAAAACATTTGCTTCTGGTTCATCTAGAACAGGTATCTTGTCTGCATAAGGCACCCATACAACTTCATTTGTTGCTGTATACTGTATTAGTTGCAAGTTGCAACAGTCATTCCCCACACCTTATGATAAGGCTTGCAGTAGTTTTCTTTCTTCTAGTGACTGCGTTCTGTGGCAAAACATGCTAAATCTTATTACCTGCACATTATATCACTCGTGCCAGAACGTGTGCCACCATAGAGGAAAAAAGTACACCTAAGCTCAACCATGGTGCTCATTTGACATTCAGTTGCTCCCATCACTTCAGTTTCAATGAATGTGCCATTTTTTTCATTCTAGGTGTTCTCAGGGATCCTATTTTCATTTTTTTGTTTTCTTCTGACAAAATGGCAGTTACAGTTCCACTAAAACTAGATTTTTTTTTTCAGTTCTGTCGTGGCATTCTCTTGGATTGTCCCATATTCCACCTTTTGGATCTTTGACGATTTCTTTATTTATGTATGATTAAACCAGGGATTATTTTGTAGTACACAACTAACTTTGGAATTGTTGGCTCATGTATCAAACTGTTGACTTCCATAGTAGTAGTGTTTTGATGTGGTTGCATCCATTATAGAAGTTGACGATGCCATGACCATAACCTATTTTAACTTGAATGGCAGTTGTTCAGATCAGTGGTGTGCACAATTTGGTGTTAGTTGAATGATTTGAACATTTCCCCAATCTCTCCTCTTTATAACTGATGCTTTTTGAATATGGTACCTTCAAAGTTAGTTAGCTGTTGTAACTCATCTCACTGCCATATTAAAAAAATCATATATATTGTTCAAAATTAAAGAACTGTTATGAGTATATGCATCTCTAAATCTTATTTGATCTATTGGTCTTTTTCTCTCTCAGAGGATCATTTGCATCTGAGCCCTTACTTATCCTATGTAAGTGGAGCTCTAGCAGGATGTGCAGCAACTCTAGGGTCATATCCATTTGACCTTCTGAGGACTATTCTTGCATCGCAGGGTGAACCAAAGGTAAGTCTGATATTACCTTTGGTCTACAAAACTTTTTTTTTTTGTGTGTGTGTGGAACACTTGTGGCATGTTTTGTTGTGTGTAATTGATTGGAGTGATGAGGACTTTAGGGTTAGAGACAAGTGTGTGTCTGTGGGATTTCAACAGGAAGGGAATCGGGGAATTTGTAGGTCCAACACCCACTATTTCAAAATTCAAACCTATAGAGGGGTAGTAATTGGAAGGTTATTGCTGTCTGAAGATGAATGGATGCATCCCGACCCTTCATAATTACTTAAACAGCTAAACTAGTGTCTTATCAATTTCCCGTCCCCTTTGCCAAACAAGGTGCTGGGCTTTATATTGAACTTTCTACGCCCTGTCTCATGAATAAATCATAAACTTGTTCTTTAGTTATGACTCTGTTAGCTTGGTTTCGGAACTGCTCATATTCTTAAAGATCTGATGTTTTAATTTTGAGGCCGATGTAGGTCCTGGAGAATTTTTGTCCCGTCACTGCAAATATTTGAAAATATTATGTATTATTTTGCTTCTTATTAATGGATGCCATTATGCATGCAATTCTTTGTTGAGATTTTCTTCTACCATTTCAATGTCAATGTTTTCGGCACTTCTGATGCCACACAGGGTTTGCTGATTCAGAGATCTGTACTTTTCTCTGTAGGTTTACCCCAACATGAGGTCTGCATTTGTTGATATAATTAAAACTCGTGGTGTTCAAGGGCTTTATTCTGGTCTATCTCCAACTCTTGTTGAAATCATACCATATGCCGGTTTGCAGTTCGGTTCATACGACACTTTCAAACGCTCGATGATGGTAATGACATTAAACTCACAGTTTTTGCATATTGCATACTTATATAAGTAGAGTTCCTTCTATGTTTTTTTTTTTTTTTTTTTTTTTTTTTTTTGCGAAAGAGAGTTCCTTCTATGTTGAATACATGCTTGTCAAGAATACCAAATACTTCTATGAATGCTGGTGAAATTTAGTCTTCCTGACTGTATTTTCTGCCATGCAGACATGGAACAGATATAAATATTCACATCTTAACTTAGGAAGCGAGGATGATTCGGTATCAAGTTTCCAGCTATTTCTTTGTGGGTTTGCAGCTGGGACATTTTCAAAGGCTGCATGCCACCCACTTGATGTTGTAAAGAAAAGGTTCCAGGTGATTTTCTTGTCTTGAAAGCAACTGATTCCTCCAGTTGCTTTGTGGTATTTAGATATAGGCAAATAACTTGATACTGCATAGCTTTGAGGCAGTCATTGTGGTTTATCATTCTATGGTTGTCTGTCTGTTGTAACTACTTAGGAGTATAAAGTCCTTTATATATAACATTAGCAGAGTCCTTTTCTATATGCACTCATGTACTGTATATTGCCCCCATGGGGCTATTATTCAACACAAGTGCTAAAAAATGACTCTACTAACATATACATAAAGGACTCTATACTCCTAACACACACCATGGTCCACCAGGCCAGTTACCATTTCCTAATTAACTATAAAGGCAGCTGCAGGATATACCGTTTCTTTACTAAATTAATTAGGGATATACCGTTTCTTTACTAAAATAGTTAGTCCTTTCTGGCTTAAAACAAAACAAAAACTTTTCATGCACCCTCCAAATTAGATAAACTCATTACTGGTATTTGGATCTTCTCTCTTGGTCATGCCAAACATTGCAACTTCAACTTTGACAAAGGATGAAGTTTGACCACTTTTTTTTTAATTGCTCGCGCGAATGTGTGTATGTTATAAACTATGGTCTTGTCCTTCAGTCATGTCACTATGTGAAATTTATTTGTATAGAATATCGGCACCCATTCGAGTTAATAATAGTAGTTTCTTTTGTTCACTGGGCATGTTTTGTGTCAGTATGTTTCTGCTGACTTACTGAAGACATTTATTTCCATACCGTTATATTTGCTTGTTGCCACTTGCCAGTATGACAGTATGTGGTATACTGGTATACCACTTCATTGAGGAATGAGTTCACCTTAGTGCCTCTTAGGCGCAAATGCCCATTTAGGTTGGCAATGAATTACTTGAGAATGAGTCATGGATCGTAATAGATTTCTTCATGCCTTATGTTATACTCTGTATTTATCTTGAGATTGCTAGCGATGGGATGATCAGGTTTCCTCGGTCATAATGCAGATTGAAGGACTAAAACGCCATCCAAGGTATGGAGCTCGAATTGAGAGCAGCACATACAAGGGCATGTACCATGCCTTAAAGGAGATTGTCGCAAAGGAGGGATTTGGAGGCCTTTATAAGGGCCTTTTCCCCTCTTTGGTGAAATCGGCCCCTGCTGGTGCTGTGACATTTGTGGCATATGAATACATCTCAGACTGGTTAGAGTCGACACTGATGTGAAAATCTTCAATGCAGTAATACTTTATCCCCATTTTTTTTTTCTGTTGCTGTCTATATTCTTTCTCCATACTGTTGTACACTTGTGTCTGGAAGAGGCTGCAGTTCCATTGGATCTTGCAGTCCATACGAGGTTTGGGAGCCTGCTAAAATCAACTGGATGATTCATGCTCGTAAGCTCCTCTCATGGGTTTTGGCAAATCATTAGACGTTACACAAATTGGCAATCGAGTTGATCACTGAAGATTTGCATTTCTAGATGTCTACGCACTGAGGCCTACTTTTTCTGCAAACCTAAAGTTTTATGTTTTTGTTGTTGTTGTTGGTGTGTGCATGCTAGTTCACCTTCAAAGCAGTGATAGAACCTGAAACTGATTTGCAGGATAGGGAGCAAGGCAGGAGTTGAGTGAGTTCTTGTTGGATCATGGAGCTGTCAGGATACCATGACGAAAACTTTTTGCACACCCTGGACATGGAGGGTGTCCAGGTCAATCGTGAAGTGCATACAATTCCTAGAGATCTGATACATGTGAAGTCTTACATAGAAAAGAGCTGTTTTGTCGTTTCTTATTCTTTTCCCCAATTGCCTAATATGGTGGTAGGGCATTCGTTGGCGTGTAAAACAAGGCTGAGTAAAACTAACCTAGTGGTCGTGACACATCACTCATGACGAAAGTCAAAAGCAGCCGGCAGTTTTGTTGGGATCGTCATACGAATCTTTTTTCGGCTGTAGACATGCCATATCTACTCCAGCTAGTACGAGTAACAATATTCAGTACGTGTTCCAACTTATAATCCACGATTATATACCAGCAGATCGTACTTGTCTACTTGAGCTATGGATGATCATGTCTTCGCAGCTTTTATTATATTTCTTCTGCAGTCTGGCTAATCTTGCGTCAGATATCGCCCGAGGTGAAACAGTGTGTTGCCTTTGCCTGGCCTGCGAACTGCGCACGGCAGAAGCAATGAATGTGAGTTCACCGCAAATGTTACATGGCCGTATCTCTTTGGACCTTAATAAGATTTCACAGCAAGAAATCTTGCTTTTCTGATAATTTTAACTCGCTGCTTCTGTGCTTCGGTCTCTGGTAATGTTTGTTTCCTATTGTGGTATTCTTCAGATATGGATCCTGGAAGCTGACTTCTAAAAGCGTTAGACATGAGTTGTGCTGAGATAAACAAGTATTATTAATAAAATTCCCATAATGTCCTCACTCTTTGTTTTCTTTTGCTTTACTATGGAAAAAAGAGAGGCATAATAGTCTTTTGATGTATTGAAGCTGGTTCCTCAGCTTACAGATTATGGAATTTAGGGGTCTCTTGATTTCAAAAGGAGCCATACCTAGATTCTAGAAGCTAGCTTCTACAATCTTTATGAACCCAGACAGGCATGTGTAGTACTACCTCTCTCCAGAAAAAGAAAGCAATTATATGTGTATTTTTGGTTAAAGTGTCCAAACTTTGACTAAATATATAAATGTTTATGATGAGTATTATGAAAATATATCTCACGTGTTCGCTCAAAACAAATATTTTAATAATACTTATTTGATATCATAGCTATTTATACTTTTCTATATATAGTTAGTTAAACTCGAGATATTTTAACATGGCACAGTCTAAAGAAAGAAGCTAGCAAAATCTTGATTACATTTGGATCCTATTAAAATTAAACCTAGTCACTAATCCAAGTTTAGTCTTTATCCCTGGATGATACCGACTTCTGATTGGTTCTTAACAAGTCCCACCTAAACGTCTCATGGCCAATGCACGTCTCTGCTTCGTGCTCGCCCATGAAAAGCGAGATTTCAACTATAGAGAGACGAAACATGAGACATGGTCCTAAGCTCGCGTCAGGCTTGGACGTGATGCACTCTGTGTCAGAGTATCTCCAAAAATCTTTCCTAAACATATTCTTTAAATTATCATTTAGAGAGTTATTTAAATAAAAATTATTCTCTATTAGAATATAACTTCTCTATATTTTGTGTGCACTTTAGAGAGCCAACCCTGTTCTCTATATTTGACTTGAGAGAAATTTGAATAAAGGAGGATGGCTATATTTGAAGATCTAATTGAAGAAGTTGTTAGAGGGAATTTTTTTCACCAAAATTTCTATCACCAAAATTTTCACCAAATCTCTATGACTTCACGACTCAGACATGTTAAACATTATCATAACACTTTGTCATTTTTATCAATGGTATTAAAAGAACCGAGTCCGAGAGAATCCCAAGAACTCAGAGATGAAGAAATGGACACGACTATCCCCTTTCTAAAAGCCAAATAGCAAAGGGATTAAAACCCCAACGCTAGCTTCAAATTGTAGTACACTTTATTTTGGTCTCAACGACAACAAACAACAACAAAGCTTTTAAGTCCCAAACAAGTTGGGGTAGGCTAGAGTTGAAACCCAGCAGAAGCAATCAAGATTCAGGCACGTGAATAGCTGTTTTCCAAGCACTCCTATCTAAGGCTAAGTCTTTGGGTATATTCCATCCTTTCAAGTCTTCTTTTATTGTCTCTACCCAAGTCAACTTCGGTCTTCCTTTGCCTCTCTTCACGTTACTATCTTGGCTTAGAATTCTACTATGCACCAGTGCCTCTGGAGGTCTCCGTTGGACATGTCCAAACCATCTCAACCGGTGTTGGACAAGCTTTTCTTCAATTGGTGTTACCCCTAATCTATCACGTATATCATCGTTCCGAATTCGATCCCTTCTTGTATGACCACAAATCCAACACAACATACGTATTTCTGCGACATTTATCTGTTGAACATGTCGTCTTTTCGTAGGCCAATATTCTGCACCATACAACATAGCAGGTCTAATCGTCGTCCTATAAAACTTGCCTTTTAGCTTCTGTGGTACCCTTTTGTCACATAGGACACCAGATGCTTGGCGTCACTTCATCCACCCTGCTTTGATTCTATGGCTAACATCTTCATCAATGTCCTCGTCTCTCTGTAGCATTGATCCTAAATATCGAAATGTATCCTTCCTAGGCATTACTTGATCTTCCAAACTAATATCTTTCTCCTTCCGAGCAGTAGTGCCGAAGTCACATCTCACATACTCAGTAGTGCCAAAGTCACATCTCATACACTTTATTTTGGTCTAAGCCAAATTTATTTAATTTAACTAATATTTTCAAAAAATATATTAACATCTATAAATTCAAATAATTGCATTATAAAGACATATTTATAAGGGTTTATGAAACCAATTTGATATTGTAAGGTCAAAACTTAGTCAAATTAAATTTAGAGAAGTTTGACTTAACACAAAGTTAAAGCGATGGTAGCATAACATTTAAAAAAAGATAGCACTGACATCGTGGCCCCCACTGCTCAGTAACAGGCGATGACCCCCTAGCACTGTTAATCAACAGCCCACTAACTAATAACGGAAGCGAACGAGGGGGAAAAAGATAAAAAAAAAGAAACGAAAAATCCTCTCCGTGTCTCCCAGCTCAACTCTTTCCTTTCCGTCTCGTCTCCCTCGCGTCCCCATCTCCTTCCTCATCCTCGCGGCCCACCTCCAAACCCTAGCGCACCGCCGTGCCGACTCCCCTAGCCAGCCACTACGTCGAATAGGGCAGCGGCGGAGGCGGCAACCTGATGCCCAGCCCCCCGTGGGGGCCATGGAGCTCGTCCCCGTCAAGCCCGCGGCCGGAGCTCTCGTCGAGGTGGGCTCCGGGTCCGTGGCCGGCGCGGGCTCGATCCCGGCGATGGTGGCGGCGCAGCAGAAGCTGCTGCACGAACAGGTGGACCAGCTCCAGCGCCTCGTCGTCGCCCAGTGCCGCCTCACCGGCGTCAACCCCCTTGCCCAGGAGATGGTCAGCAACTCCCGTCTTCAATCCTTGCCTTGTTCTATTGAGCTTCTCCCATTGCATAATGTGAGCTGGGCAATTTCTAGTTAAGTAGCATGTGAATTGCTTTGGGGGATATATATGCGATTGGGCGTGGGTAAAACCATAGGTTCCTAATGGTGATATATGAGCTGAGTTTGCTGTTCTTATTTTAGGCCGTGCTTCATCATAGTTCCTATATACTGTGGCGCTCCATTGTGGGAACTGGAAAGTTATTTGTGTTCCTGAAACTAGGAAAGTTCTTCTAATATTTAGATTATGAATGCTTGTGTTATTATGAAATACAACTAAAAAAAACTATTTGTTGACTGCAGCATTGTTGAAAAAAGCTGTTCTGATCCTTCCTTAGTGCAATTGTTAAACCATTATTAACTTCATCAAATTGCTGATTGTGTTGTATACAGCGTTGCAATGCTATTGTGTTTGTGTGTTATGGATTATGAACATCGAAAGAACAAACCTTTGAGTTGATGCTGGACATTTAGGTTGAAGATTGCCAGAAAACACTTCTTCTGCTTCCATGTTTTGCTTGCTCGCCCTCTTTCTGTGTTATTAGCTTTCTGTAGCGTTCAAACACACTGCATGTCCATGAGCCATCATCACCGTTTTCAGCTAAATTATTTTGATTCATCCGTTTACTTATGTTGCACTTGGTTGGGTCTTGCAGGCTGCCGGTGCATTGTCTATCAAGATAGGTCAGTTTGTCCACATCAATTGAATTCACATTGGCATAGCATGTGTGGTGGATGTCTTAAAATAACATGGACACCATGATGTAGCGTAGCTAACATACGGCAATATGCTGTTTTTTGAACCTGATTGCTGAAAAACGTCATGAGCTTGCGCTTGAATTCTCCCAGAATCTAAAGTGACACAAGATCTGATTTTTCTTCAATTATTCCATAATTTTTGTAATTATTGCATGCTGTTCTAACTTGTAAGCACTATTTAATGTTAGTTAAAGCTTTGCAGGTAAGAGGCCAAGGGATCTGTTGAATCCAAAAGCAGTTAAGTACATGCAGTCACTTTTTGCCTTGAAGGACACTCTTGGCAAAAAAGAAACCCGAGAAATTAGTTTACTCTGTGGGGTCACTGTTACACAGGTCTGCTCCACATCTCAGATGGGATACTTTTCTGTACTTTGATTTGATGTATTATGTTTTTCTTTTGTGTGCCCTCATAGACCTGCTTATAACACTAAAAAAATGTCGTCAAAACAATTGGACAGAATCCGTAGAACTGTTTTCAACAGGACTAGGCTTATTTTTTATTTGTAGTCTAGTAAGTAGACTGTATTTTTCTTTCTTCTTTTCCCCTACATTCAAATTAATCACACTGGTTGCTTTTATTCTTACTGTCTGTTACGCGAACGGGGCTCTAGTTGAGTTGGTTAGGTGGCTCTAGTAGCACTCCTGGTCCTGGGTTCGACTCCTTGTGGGAGCGAATTTCAGGTTGGGTTTAAAAAAATCCCCTCGTCTGTCCACACGCCAAAGCACAGATCTAAGGTCTGGCCCAAGGTCGTGGTCGTTCTCACATGGGCTACGGTGCCTCTGTGTATGGATGGAGCAGGGGTTTGGGGTTTTTCTCGACGTGTGTGAGATGTCTTCTTAGCAAAATGCCAGGCGGGGTTGAGTTTTTTATACCTTGTTTTTTTCCCCATTTTTTTTATGTACATTTTTCATGTAATGACCTGCACATTAATAAATGTTAGGTTAGGGAATTCTTTACAATTCAAAAATCGCGAGTGAGGAGATTTGTTCGTCTATCTCAAGAAAAAGCGCTGAGAATAGAAACACCCAAGGAGCAGGACAATGCATACTCCATAAACACTGAGCTGATACCATTGGACATAGAGGCACAAGCTGAAGTTATCGAACCTCTGAGCACTTTAGAACCAGTGGTCCTACATAGCTCTTTGCAACCAACAGATGTCCCTCAGGTCTCTTTGCAATCATTGGAGCTCCAACAAAGCGATCTGCAGCATATGGAAGTCTTCCAAAACTCTTTGCAACAAACAGAGGCCCAACAGAACTTTGCAGCTCCTATGATGCCATCTGGAACAATGGTTATGCAACCAACTGATGCTAAGATTAGCTCAGACTCTGTTCGAAAGGAAATTAAGCAAGAGGAAGTTCATCCTGGTGTTGAGTCAGAAGATAAGAAGTTCTTGGAAAGTATATTTGCTCTAATGCAGAAAGAGGAAACATTCTCTGGGCAGGTCAAATTAATGGAATGGATTCTGCAGATAAATAATGTTACAGTTCTTAGTAGGTAAGATATCAGCTCTTTAGTACCAACTGAGCTTTCAATCAATGATCATATTTATACTTGGTTTCACCTTTCCAATAACTATTCAGGTTCGTAACGATGGGTGGTTTGACCATTATGTCAACATGGTTGAGTCAAGCAGCAATTGAAGAGCAAACATCGGTTATCCATGTTATTTTCAAGGTTCTTATATTTTTCTTTGGTGAACATGTAATGTACTTATCTGGGTCATGTATTTTTTTTGACTCATATTACTGGTGTAGGTGCTGCTCCACCTTCCGTTACATAAGGCTTTACCAGTCCACATGTCGGTTGTTCTGCAAACAATTAATAGGTTACGGTTTTATAGAACACAAGGTGTGTATAAATCACCACAAGGCTTCTCTATTTTGCGCATACTTATTGGATGGTGGCATTTTACTTTACTATTATTTGGAAACTTGATCTTCTAAGATAAAATGCTGTTGATTTGCACCCTTTGCGGATGATATTTTGAATTAGTGATTTGGAATCTTTGATCCCGCACCTTAAGGTTGTGATAGTTGGGTCTTTTGATTATAATAAAGTGGCAAAAAGCTCAATGTTTTGATTGCTTTGTTATGATTCACTTCTCCAGTTTGGTATCGATGAGATGCCATTGCCCATCAGAATTCTATCTGATGCATCTGTTCTAGCATTTGTTTCCATTTCATATTCCACACTAATGTTGTATTAAGATATGCACATATAGATGTTTCTTTTTCTTTGGCCTGGTTATTAGAACTTATCTGATTCCAAGATCAGACATATCGAGCAGGGCTAGGAACCTCTTATCCAGATTGAGCAAAGTGCTTGTAAGGATTCAGTCATTGAAGAAACCTCAGAAGGACTTGATATGTAAACAAAGGTGAATTTTCCTTTCTAACACTACACTGCAGTGCTGTCACTCCCTGTTGTTTATTTCTACCTTTTGTTTGAAGGAGCAAATTATAGTTTTATATTTTCTTTTGCAGGATAAGTGAAATTCTCCGTGATGAGTCTTGGAAATCAGAAGTTGATATTACCGTAAGCATCTAAGTGATACCATGTATGTCAGCAGAGTAGCTTTACTTTGCAAGTTTAACTTTTGTGCTCTTACCAGGAGGAGATACTTGCCTTGACTGATGGTGCGAATGAGAGCAGGTACTTTTCCTATATGGTCTCTGCATTGAGCATGATTGAATTGCAGTAGAGCGAAATGATGTACCTAAGTACCTAACGTCCATTTGACTAGTATAATTGTAGTTTGACCTTGTTTCTGTTTCATTGTGCAGAAAGCCTGAGCCCAGAAAAACACCAATGCTTCTCACTGCTTCTGCTGATGAGGCAAATAAAAGGAGTTCTGTGCAGAAAAGTATCCTTTACCTAAATATAGATTCACCTCTATACATAATTTTGTTTCTCTCTCTCTCTCTTTTTTTGTGAAATATGGTCAGCTAATACCATTCCATGTATATAGGCTATTAAAGAATATATTTATTTCATCTACAGCTCCCAAGCATGTACAATTCTATGTCTTTATGGTAGTTATCCGAAGCAAATAGCTTTCATCTGTATTATTCTGTACTAATATCTTTGGTGGATTTTAATAGTAGCTTGGCAGTGACTTTCACCTTTTATACAAAAGAACTATTTAGGTAAATAGCATTGCTTAAAAGTTTGTTCTGAGATGTTTGTGTTTAGTCAATAAGGATTTTGCTAAATTTAATGATTGTCTATTCTGTAAGGTTTTCTAGGTTAGGCTATGTATTTTTTAGTTATTATTAATTGCTTGTGAAGAATGGTAAAAAGCCTGTTGATTTGTTCATTCATTATTTCTCTTGGTACTTACTGTAGCTCAAACTGCCTGAGCGTATTTCCTTATCTGATCTCCAGACTCCAAACAAAAAAGGAAAGTTCAACTTGTGGAACATCCAAATAAGAAAGCTGTGGGGAAGAATGCTAATTCTGTCAGGAACACATCCACAAACAATAGCAGGCCATTATCTGCAGATGATATTCAAAAAGCAAAGATGCGTGCCATGTTCATGCAGGAGAAGTATGGCAAGATTGACACAAATAAAGCGAGTGATAAACCACAAGCAATGGATACGCAAAAAACTGCTGGATTAGTAAATTCAAATGCATCACCTATGCCCACAAGCCCCCATACATCAGCTGCACGACCTGTTGACCCAAGCCCATCTACTTCTAAACAAAGCACAGATTCTTCTCAGCCTGATAATACAGAAATCTCAGGTGGTTTGAAGTTAAACATAGGTTCCCAAAATAATGTTATAGAGAAGTTGGACTCCAAGAGAGTTCTTTGGCAAATACCACCAGGTATATTTTTGCTTTGTGCTCCTCGATTTCCCATTCTTTTGAATGTTGAATAGTTCTGAGCTGCTTATTGGACAATGAAAATCAGCAAAAGTTGTGCATAAGTTCAAGAACTAAGCATGCTGTCACCAGTGCAAGCCTCTGAAGTATTTACATTAGGCATCGTTCTCCAAATCAGTGTGCTTCTGTGATCCAGCTTCAGTCAAAATGGAAAAAATACCCCCCAATCCTGCACGTGTGTTGTATATTCCCTAATTCCATAAACAATTCGACTAAGAAATTTAGTGGCTCTCCTGCGTCGTTTGAGAAAGAAAATATTGACATTTAACTCATGTATCTGACCCTAAAAAATTAGTAATGAAACAGTTTTTCTGAAGGGACGGTTGGCTGTAGGCAGCCATCCTTATTTTGTGTGCACTCAACTTATTCAGAATGTAACACTTCATTTGGAACTATGAGTTCGCTGCCTTAACTTTTGAAAGAGCAGTGGACTGCAGTGCAGTTTTCTGAAATGGCACGAGAGATTAGCAACCATGGTTATGCACTTGTGTACTGTATCCTGAAACAAGGATCTATCCTGTGTCTCGAAAGTTGGAAGGTTTGCAAGCCCATAGCTATTGTGCACTGTCCACTGCTAAATGGTGTTTTTCCCCCTGCATTTGCAGATATGCATATAAGCATAAAAATTACTTAACACTTGTACTCCCTCCTTTTCTTTTTGTAAGGTGTGGTTTGATTTGGCAGGCTGGCACAGTCTCTAACGTCACATTTTGACCATTGACATCTTATCTATCGTTATGCTCATGATTATGAATTTAAAATCATATGAAAGCAGTGTTAAATATGAATTCAGTGGTACCAAATTTGCTTGGTATGATCTGCAAATTCTTAGATTAAGTGTTAGTCAGAAGGTTAGCAAGTTTGAATCTTACAAAAAGAAAAGGAAGGAGGACCTTTTTATTATAGATAAATGGTTCAATCAAATAGCACCAAATATTCCTCCATGTACACCCAACTTTTTTTTTAGCGGCTTCGATAAATTTTATTAGTAAAAAGATGAAATACTAATCCGATAAATTTTATTCACCAAAGAACACCTGCTATTTCCCCACGAACATCGCACCATTTTTATTTCGTTTGCTCAAAAAACCTTGACGAGCTGGGCTCTGCTTGATTACTTCACATAAAATGAGTTCCTGAGAATTGTGTTCAAATTCATTTTCTGGGAGTTAGCAGATGGAAAGGCCTGCGATCCTTACTACTTATATTAGATACTGAAGTACATCGGAGATATGTTGCATACCAAATGTTGTAATTACTAGTGGGCAAATTCAATGTTGATTCCATGAATTGCCATATTTCCTTGTTTCTTACATAGTATCAGTGTGCCTGTAGTTATCTGACCTGGGGCTATAGTAGCATAATTTGTGGTAGGCCTATTTATTTATAACATCTGAAGCAGCCACTGATCTTCCTGGGATCCTCATTCATTACTAGTGAAGCTCTGTGATGTCTGCCACTGTTGATTCGACTATCAGTGAGACGTGCCGTAATTTCGAAATACAGGACTTGCAAAGCCCATTATAGAGAAACTAAGAATCCTTGTTATACAAAACCAGCTTTAGAAAGCTATTTGCTAACTATTGTGATCATGAGAATGCTAGTATGTTACCTATTGCAGTATTTTTAAAGTTTTAGCTTTTGTAACTTGCTATGTTCTTTTAGGAGATCTGCTAAAAGGTTACTTCCACAACATTGACTTATTTGATAATTATTTGAAATCTATTGCCTCTTGTTGCAGCGGTATGGATAGACCCCTCATGGAGTGTAGGAGCTGGTGACAACAGCAAGGAGGTCGAGGTTCAAACACAGAGAAACCGGCGTGAAAAGGAAACCTTTTATGCAAGTCAGAAGGATATCCCAATGAATCCAAAGGATCCATGGGATCTGGAAATGGACTTTGATGACAGCCTGACCCCAGAAATTCCAATTGACCAGGTGCCAGATGTTGACGCTATGGAAACGGATAGTGTTCGCGCAGCACCTAATGCTGTGGCTCCTGTTAAGGACAAGCAGATTGAATCTACATCATCAGCATCAGGTGCAGTTGCTGATGGTGCAGGTGCTGATACCGATTATGAATTGCTTACGGTGCTACTCAAGAATCCAGAGCTTGTTTTTGCATTAACATCTAATAACAAAGGGGAGAACATGCCTAACGAACAGACCATTGCACTTCTGGATACACTGAAGCAGACTGGCCTTAGCCTTTCAGAGCTTGTTAACAGTCTGGGGAATGGTGCTGGGTTTCCGAAAGAGCCAGAGCCAGAGGCAGAACCTCTTCCTGCTTCGCTTCCATCACCAACTCCACCAGACCGTACATCAACGGTTTGTTTGCTTGCTTTTCCATGTTATCCAGTGTTTATTCCGTCTTCTGTTATTCATGTGATATTTCTTTGGCAGGCTGTCTGGAGACCAGAACATCCAATGCAGGTGAGGGCTCCAAACTTGCAGCAGCCATGTTTGTCACCTCCTATTGCAAATGCCATGCAGCAAAGCTTCTCAAATGTTGTCAGTTCGTTACCCTCACAACCTTATGCTTCAGTTTCGGTTTTGCCGGCACAGATTCAAGCTAACACCCCATCTCTACCACAGTTGGCGGTCTCTGTAAATCCGCCAATTCAACATGTTTCCCCTGTGAATAACCATCCGAATAGAGCTTTAGTAAATCAGCATAACCAGCAATATGCTTTGTTATCAGATCCTGTTGCCACGCCCTTGCATCAACAAGCAGCGGTGAGCAAATCAACCCATGGACTCCAGAGCATCCCGAACCCTGCTGTAGCACGTTCGTCGTTGCCTGAGCCTAATGCATCTTACACAACACTCCCTTGGCAATCTAGTGCTGCTGACATCACCCACACTGGACGAAATGCAGCGGCTGATCCATGGGCAGCCCGCACAACTAATAACTCATATAATACTGCATCAGCAAACACAGTGCCGTTTGCTAACCAGAATGCTTACAGTGATCAAAGCTCGCACAGTGCATACAGTTCGTATGGTCCTGCGCCAGTCTCGTCCCATTCTGTTCTACCAGGGCACGGACATGACAGAAATGGTTACAGCCGACCTCCAGTGGCAAAGTACCAATCGATGGTGCAGGACAGCCACCGGAGACACTCAAGGTCACCTGATCCTGGTGTGGTCCGGGACTATGGCGGCGCGCAAGGTTATAATCAGCAGTCCCGAACACATTGGAGTGCAGGGCAAGGGCAACAGAGCTACAATCCTGACCCCTCAAGGCAATGGAGTTCTTCCCAGGCACACCAGGGCTACACACCTGCCGAGTCCTCAAGGCAGTGGAGCACTGCGCACCAGAGCTACGCTCCTGAGCCGTCGAGGCAGGGGATCTCTGAACGTCAGGGCTACAGTGTTGAGCCCTCGAGGCCTTGGAATCAGCAGGGCCAGAACCCGGAGGCATCCAGACAATGGAACCGGGGAAAGCAAGATCCTTACTACAATCCGAGTGGTGGTCGAAGATCATACGATCAGCACCGTAGGAGATAACAAAAGCTGTATACTACATTAGCTAGATCCTGGAGGGAGGCGGTCGGTTCTTGGGAGGTTTTCTTTCATTTGATTTGATGTGAGGCCGGTTATTCGTTACATTGGGCTTTGTGATTGCACAAAGGCCATTGAGAAAAGCTATAGATCATGTATCAATCTAGTTTTGTCTCAAAATGAAAAAAAAATGTATCCATCTAGCTGGAGAGGGGAGAGAAGAAAAATGAATGAATAGCACAGAAAGAGATAAGTGGCGCCGGTTCGAATTAATTGCAGGCTTGAGTGCTGAATCGAATGATTGGTCAAATTTCGTCTGTACTCGTGTTGTCCACTCAAGGTCTTTTAATTCTAGGCGTGTTTGTGCAAAGCTATAGATCATGTATCAATCTAGTTGTCTCAAAATGAAAAAAAAAATGTATCCATCTAGCTGGAGAGGGGAGAGAAGAAAAATGAATGAATAGCACACTATCTAGGGTGCCACTTAGGCGCGTTTGTTTGCCTGGCCTAGCTGGACACGGGCTGTTTGTTCGCTGGGCCAGGCTACGAGCCAGGCCAACACGCCCCTCAAAGCACCCCTGGGCCTGGCCCTAGAGGAACGAATTTTTTTTCGTTTCTCTGGAGCCCGGCTCGGCGCAAGGCTGCTCGTGTTGGTAGTTTCTTGTCACCGCCCTTCCCTTCACCTTCCGCAATGGTGCAGTGCCCTACCCCGTGCGGCGGCCCACCTCCCTGCCGGAGCGAGTGGCAAGCTACCCCCGGGCGCGAGCGAGCCCCGCCTCTGGCCACTGTGGGCCCACCTTCACGGCGGTGTGGCGTGCTTGCCCAGGCGATGAGCCTCTCGCCGAGCTGCCCGCCTCCACCTCGGCCACGCCATCCTCCTCATCTCCTCCTCCAGACCGGATTGCTGCAGGCGCGTTGTTCTGCCTCCCGGTGGCGTGCTGCCTCCAGCAGCAGCTGCCCGCCTCCACCTCGGCTGGCGGCCCACCACCACCACCTCGCGTGTTACCCTGCCTCTGGTGCGGGCGAGGAGGAGGCGGGTGCGTGGATCTGGCCCCACCCCCGCCTCACCTGGCCGGGCGAGGCGAGGCGGGGCCCAGAGCGGCCGCCGCCTGCCTCAGTGCGCCGAGCCCGCCCCAACGTGGCGTCCTGCCTCCCCGCCACCGCGAGCCTCCCCGGCGCGACAGTCTCCTCCACCTCGGCGCGACAGGCCGCCTCCCTGTGACCGCAATGAGAAGAGAACGAACAGGAGCAGGGAAGAAAGGTGGGGTGGGGGTTAGGGGGTAAGGCTACAAATTCTTGATACAGGGTACTCGTGCACTTTTGTTCAGCCAAACAAACACATTCCCATCCATAGCCAGCCTCTACTTGGGCAAGCAAACAAACAGATCTAGTTGCACCACTTGAAGCTGCCTCCACCAGGCCAGGCTGGGCTAGTACCGACGGGCCACCCTGGGCCAGGGAAACAAACGCGCCCTTACTACCTCTGTCCTAAAAACAAAAACCGCAACTATGAGTTATGTGCCACGAAAAGTGGTTCACGTTTGATTAAGTATTTAGTGAATAATATTTACAGTTATGCTTTTAAATTAATTTATTATGAAAATATGTTTTATAATTAATTAGATGGTATTTATTTGATATCATAAATATGAATATATTTTTTTATCTATAATTAGCCAAACTCGAAGTACTAAAACGTGACAATGAAATGCATTGTTTTAGGGAAGGCAGTTGCAGCCGAGTAGCCGACAGATCGCATCGGTGGGTTTCGCCTTTCGGTTTGTCCAGAAAAAAAAAATGGAGCAGAAATAACGTCGAAAAGCGTGAGAGTTGGGTCCGTGTTGCTTTCTGCCAGATGCTATCACGTGAAAAATCTTACTCATTTAGGGGGAAAAACCTGATTGAAATAATAGCCTGATCAGTTGAGAATTGAGATTGCTGTAGCAGCGCTGCAGCTGCACAGCACCACCCAACCAACTCCAACAGCACTACCGAATCTATGCAGCTGCTGCTGCAGCCACAGCCTAACTAGGTCTGCCGATCAGCCTATGCCATGTTCGTTTGAACTTATCAATCATGGTATAATATTTTTCTCTCATAACAAATCAGTGAATAGTACTTTTCAGTCTGGCTTATCAGCGAAGAACATGTCATTAAAAATTGACCGATATGCATAGAGGATCTCCGGCCCTACCTGATCCCTCTCAAACCAAATTTAAGAATTAGGATAAAAATAGCCTCAAATTCGAGAAGACCCTCAAACCACCCTCCAATCTCTTATTTCTAGGGGCTGTCAATCCGGCCCCTACTTTGGCATTGAAGTGGTTTTCCACCTGCTCATGGCGCACCTCTCTTGGGCGATCTCCCTGCACGGCTCCTCTTCTCCCGATGAGGTCACCTGTAGCTCTTTTCCACCTGGCGTGTACGACCCCTCTTGGTTCTTGACGGTTCCTCTCGGCGACTTCGCCCGACGCGGCTGATTCTGTCCCTGCAAGATTCGAGATCTCAACGTGCTCCTTGCGGGAATGTCTCGATGCGGGTCCTCCCTAGCTCCCAGCATTCCTGACCTCGCCTGACGCAGCTTTCTCGTCATGGGAGATCTTGGCTAGACGTGGCTCTTGTCATTGCACGTGATCTTGACCCGACATTCTCCTCTCCTCGTGGAGAGATTTGATGCAGCTCCTCCGGTGAGGTCTCGACGACACCTCCCTGCTCCTGACGTCCCTCGTCCTCGCCTCCTTTCTTTCTAGCCCGCATAGCTCAGTAAGTAATGGCGGGAAGGAACAAGGAGGAGATGACATGTAGATGCTATGTGTCATTGTCAGTTGAGATGGATCTGAGGACCCTGATTTAAAGACGGTTGCTAGAATGGACATAAAAATTTTGAGCTCTTAAAAATAAGAGGAACTATCAAAATCAAGAGTAGGAGCCCAGGCTTCGATTAACTTTAGTCACCTAACAATTAATTATAGAGTAATTAATTCTAGTTGACTAACCACCAGTCCAATCAGGTATTCCCTCCCAAACTATCCGTCGTTTTTTGTTTCCATGCCACAAGTTTGACTCGATTTGTATAAAATACATGCAATATTTATATCTTCAAATAAATTTATTAAAAAACTAGATTCAATGATCTTTTCATTGATATCAATTATGTACCATAAGTATTAATATTTTTAAATATATATTTGATCAAAATTGTTTTTTAAAGACGAAAACGATAAATATTTTGGGTGGGGGGGGGGGGGTGGGTTGGGGGGGGGTGTATACGAGAACTGGAAAACGACGGCTTGAGCTCACGCGTGTGAGCGCTTCCAACGTGCCTGGACTCTACTACTGGTCGGAGGTGGAGCGGAGCACATGTGCACCGTGCACGCATGATGGGCAGTCAGACACGCATCCCATTAGTAGTCGTAGGTCGGTCACTCGGGGTCGGGGGACTGGCGGCTGCCGCTGGTCGGCGAACGCGCACGCGCTCCACCCACACACGGGACGGGACGCGCGAGCCCCCAGCTCCTCCAGAAAACGCGGAAAAACACGCGAAACAACCGAGGAAAACCGAGAGAAAAAGCTCGCCCCGGCACGGCAAATACCTCCCCTGCTCTGCTCCTCTCCTCCCTCCTCGGCCTCCTCGGCTCCACTCCTCTCCCGTCTCCCCGCTCCCCACCGCTCCCGCGTCCCCCGTTCCTATCCCGTCGCGACAAAGCCAAACACCTAGTAGGCAGCAAAGCGACGCGTGTCCATTCCGCTCCCCCGTCCCGCGATGGCCACGGCGGCCGTGGCGAGGCACCACCATCACCACCACCAGCAGCGGGGTGCGCAGCGGTGGCAAGGGCGGCGCGTCGGGAGCGGGATACGGTGCTCGTCGCCGGCGCAGGAGTTCGCGTCGCTGGCCGCGGTGTTCCGGCGGAGGCTGGTGGTGGGGACCACCACGGCGGCGGCCGCGGCGGTGGGGGCCAACTTCGGCGGTGTCACCAGCTTCCTGCTAAGCCTGTCGCCGGAGCTCGGCCGCTCGCTCCGCCTCGACGTGCTCTACCCCGTTGGCGGCTTCACGCGCTGCCTCGACTCCGACAATGGGTTCGGTAAGCACCCACCGCCGCCTCTCTTCCTCCACATCTTGTTCAGCCCTCTCCAACCGGCATTCGCATGTGCTGGTACTATACATGGCTTCATTTTGGAAGAAGAGTACCTTGAAATTGAATCCGAGGGGTGATTAATTGCTCGCAATCGTTTTGCTTTTGCCGTTCCATCTTTGCTAATTGACTTTTTGCCTAGTGCTATTGGTAGTTAGGTACTCGTCAACAACAGAAGCAAACAGACGCAACAAATTGAAATGCTCTCGGTCTCCTTCCTCGTGAGACGCATTGAGAGCAATCGCTCTCAACCTTAAAAACAATTTGTTATGCGCAAGGCTAGCGTTTCTTAATGGCCAATTGCTAACCACTCTAGTTAGCTTTGAAAAAGCAAAGACCACCTCCTCCTACACATATTTATCGGTCAACCGGGGTTCACACCTCATAGCAAAGCAACATGATCCATGGTGACCTCGCCCGGAGGGTAGTAAACTAGCAATCACCAATTCACACAGCAAGTAATGCATCTGATGTCTTTTTAGTTCAACACCGTGCTTGTTTATAGTGCTGGATGGAAGGTGAACAGCAGATAGTAACCGGGGGACCAAAAAAGAAAAAAGAAAAAAGTTGCAGTGTTTGACAAGAGAAAATCTGAGGTCACATTCGGTAGAGGTGACGATTGCAATCAGCCACGAAACTAGTTAGGGGTATCCCTGCGTGTGCACGTTGTTGTCAAGCAGCAACTTTGCGCCCCACCAAAATGTACAGAAATATCTGCCAAAAAAATGTACAGAAATAGGAAAGCCAAGTGGTTGGTTGGTGTGCACATCCCACTGACTGAAATGAAGAGGAAAAATTGCGTTTAAATCCTAAACTGCTAATCGCAATGAAGGTAAATTCGTAGTATCCTAAGTTCTCATTTCACTTGTTTTTGGAAGTTTAGTTTAATTTCTTCTTAACAATCGGATGGATCATAAAGAGAGATTTGTATGCTTCTCCTGAAGCCTGAATCAGGAATCAAAACAGTTTTTGACACTGAGGCCTCTGATTTTTATATGTTCTCCTGTTTTTTACTTTCAATACAAATACGTCAATGGAATCAGGAAAAGTCACGAACGAAGAAAAACTAGGCACCTCTGATTTGTATATTTTCCTATATACTATAATGTGGCTACAAGCAGAGTGGCTCCAAAAAAAAGTGGTCCTTCATGCAGCCAGACTATACCCCAGCTTTCCAATGAGGTTGTATGTGTGGATCATGGGCTATCTTGTGCCACATTTAGGACCAGGAATGGCAAGCCACCTGGGCATGTAATCACAACTTATCATTGCTTGCATCTGGTGGATTTGGATTTTTTTTGGATGGATGTTCTCCGAGGACCATAAGCGTGTGTTTTAGAAAATACTGATGTTAAAACGAGGCACCATAAGTAGAGTTATGTGATGTGACTATCTATAAGTAACAAACTATTTCATTGTCAAAATTTTAGTACACAGCTACCATTTTTTAATGTATTAACTGTATGGTGTCGGAAAAAATGCAGAATTCATCTATCCATCAAGTTGGGTTGGAGATCAGACTCTACTGTACAGAGAAGTGAAAAAGGCAGAATTGCAAAGATCACTAGACCCACCACCGCTGCCAAATGGAAAATCACCTCGGAACATCAGTGAACCTGTGGCAGCTTTTGGCCCCCCTGGATCCAGTGGGGAGCTCAACGTCAGTGTCATTGTCTCACCTGTACCACGAGACTTCTCGTAAGTTCACTCAATTTGTCACTTGCCGTTTGATCCTCGAAGATTATGTGAACAATCTATTTGATTTCCAATATATGCGAAACATGGTAGTGAAATCGTGCATCTCTCTCTTTAATACAAAGATACGCAGATCTCCTGCGTGTAAGGAAAAAAAAAATTCTTGCATGTCTTATGTTAACAAGCCAGACCTAAGTTTGTTATTCTGAAAACCTCTTAAGTATGCAGAGTTTCGGTTACGGTAGCGATTTTTGACCAAATAATTATTCTACAGTTCAATATGGTTTCCACTAATGGAGCAGTTTGAATTGTTTCGAACAGGATTGAGGCTTTTGGTAGTCCAAAAGATGTGGGGGAAGTGGTGCTCAGAAGGATTGCAAGGACAAGGCGAAGCCCAGATATCAATGCTACTCTTATCGATGCCGCCTTGAGAGAAGATGCAGACAATGTGAAATACTACAAGCTGGAGTTCCGAGTTGAAAGCCCTTCTTTCCGGCGACACAATGTTGCGGTCTGCTGTGCCAGGGACGGGAAGCTTTACACCATGAACGCACAAGCACCAGAATCGGCATGGAAAGCAGTTCAGAAGGAGTTCTTTGCAATGGCGGATTCCTTCAGCTTAGTGAACGATGCTTGATACAGTTAGGCACACGCATTTTTGAACGCCTGAGCGTTTTCTCTAGTAGTTTGCAAGTTCTCAATAACCATGGTTTGGTTTAGAGAACTAGGACGAATGTATCATAATGTTTCTGTTATACCTTACAATCATGTCTGAAGTTTTATCTTCTGCATGCATTGGATAGATAATCTAATCTTTATTTCATCGTGTTACTTCAAACTTCTGTCTGCACTTATTTATCAGAGCAAGCGTACCTGAACAACCATTTTGCCGGATTTATATGATGTACTTGTCAGCAATCTCCATGAGAAGTTCTGACAGCTCCCTTGGTTTTGAGAGCATGGCCATATGATCAGCTCCCTGCAACCCCATCACCTCCGTGCCGGGGTTCCACGACGCCATCCGCCGCTGGAAGGCTGCTGGCACCGTCGCGTCGTCCTCGGCGACGACGCACACCCGCCTCACGGCGCCATACCGCTCCGCCGTCAGGACGTCCCCCTTCATCGTCGCGTCGTCTTGGAACCGCTGTGACGGCCTCACCATCGCCACTGCCAGGGTCAAGTCCTGCGTTGCGCCCACCAGAGGAAGCAGCACACGTCAGATAGTGACGTGTTTGTGTGGCTCAGGAACTGGTGGCCATTGCCACTTGTCAGTTGTCACCTACCTCAGGGGGGCTGAGCTGGTACAATCTCTGCTTCAGGTACTGTGGCACCAAACGAAATGTTTCCACGGGATGCTGGGGGTCGCCGCCGGTTTCGAATTTGCAGTCCATGTAGCGATCAGCTGGGTGCTCTTGTTGCCAAACCTATAGTTCATCATCAGGACATCATGGTCAGAGTGAAATTCGACACCTTCTCGGCCTTTTCGACGAAACAATCGAACAACCCTCGGTCATGAATTTCCGTTCTGTTACCTGCTCGAGGACGAACGCCATCGGCTTCCCAGCGGCGGGCATGGCGGCCGCGACGAAGACGGCGACGGCGACCCTATCCGGGTACCGCTCCATGGCTAGCGCGAGGTTCAGCCCGCCGAAGCTGTGGCCGACGAGGACCGCCTTCTCATCGGGTGGCAGGCCGGCCACCGCGGCCAGGAGCGGCCGGCTGTACTCCTCGAAGGACGGCACCTCCTCGGCGCGCCCGGGGCTAGCGCCGCACGCGGCCATGTCCAGCGCCGTCACGCGGTGGCCCGCGGATGACAGGAGGGTGCCCACCTTGTACCAGCACCACGCGCCGTGGCAGGCGCCGTGCACCAGCACGAAGTGGTGCTGCCGCCTCCGCTGCTTCGAGCCGCTCTCCATGGTCCTCTGTACTCTGCGGTTGGTGGGATCAGGACGCAAGTACACACTTTTGACGGGGGATTTTTAACTTTTTTACCGGACGACACTTCTTCCTCGTTTGTCACTTTTGTACGTGCTCTACATAATTGCCGGGAACCTCGTATGTTTTTATTATTTTTTGCTGATATGGCATGATAGGTACGTCAGCAGCATGACAGTGAGTCTAAGAAGATCTACAGAGCATGCGAAATGGCCTATTTATCCCTATCGCTTCTCTCCCTCTACTCGCTGACGCGTAGGCCCCACACGTCAGCTTTGTCTTCAACCTCCGGCCATCACCCGAAGCCGAGTGGCTCGACGGTGAGCGGGCTCTGGCGACGGAGGGAGGAGGAGCGGCGCGCTGGCACCTAGGCCATGCTGCTACAGAGCTGCTGCCTCATAAAAGCTCCCTGCGCTTGCTCCTGTTTGCAACTTCCACGGAGGCGGGGTAGAAGACTGGAGCTTGCACAGAGCTGCGGCCATGACTAGAGCTCCATCGTCACCATTGATCTCCCCCATCCAGCCGTCTCTGCTACTCCCAACGGGCTCTGCGAGTTCGTAGTGGCATGACGGCTTCACCCCGCTACTCGTCGTTCGGCAACCCCCGTCCCATCGTCGTGAACCACCGCCGTCGCCGCCATTGTCGTCCCGAGGTCGAGCTCACCGATCTCCGCATACACAGCAGCTCTCGCCTCCCCATCTCCTTCGTTGGCGCCGCAAGGACCCGCCGCGGCCACCTATCCACATCTCAGCGCCAATCCGTGGCCGCAGTGGCGTCTTCCACCTCAACTGAAGCACTCCGCCGGAGAGCCTCGCTTCTACCCGTGGCTGGCTGCCACCAGCCCCTCTTTGCCGCAAGAACTCCTCCATCGACTTCGCGCGTGGTGCCTTGCTCGTCGTCCTCGGCTGCTCAGCAGCCATGGAGGGGTGACGAAGCTGGAGGTGCCTGGCTCCCATCCAGGTGCCGGAGGTGTGAGATGAAGCTAGAGGTGCCTGGCTCCCATCTGTGGCTGGAGGTTGAAGACAAAGCTGACGTGTGGGCCCACATGTCAACGAGTAGAGGGAGAGAAGCAACAGGGGTAAATAGGCCATTTCGCATGCTCTGTAGGCCTTTCTCAGGCTCACTTTCACGTTGGCGTGCCCACCTGGCGTGCCATGTCAGCAAAAATAGTAAAACGTAGGAGGTTCACTATTTACGATGACAATCGTGTAGGAACGCGTATAAAAGTGGCAAACGAAGAAGTGTCATCCGTAAGGATGGCAAAAAGTTAAAAATCCCCTTTGATCGGAGGAGGAAGAGGCGAAACATCCTCGTCTTGTAACCAGGTGTCACTGAAAAAGGTCATGCTTGATATACTCCTTTAGTTTTTAAACTCAATGGTAGGAGCCCTATTAGATTGATCATCAAGGTAGTATTTTCTCTGTCTCTGAATAAATCAATTCTTAGAATTGCCTTCAATAAAAAATTTTGAGTTTAACCAAATAGAAAGATATAACATGGCATGAAATAAACAAATAATGAAAATACGTTGCATAGTGTATCTATTGATATTAAATTGATGCTATAAATCTCTGTGCGTTTTCGTATAAATTTGATCAAATTTTTTTTTGACTTAGGACATCTCTAGACATTAATTTATTTTGAACAGAGGGAGTAACTGTCATCCCTCATAGTAGGTCAATCTTAACTAATGATTATCCATGATCGATGGGTCTAGCTGATCACAGGCTAACCCATGCTATAAGAATGGAGAGGACCACATCACCTAAGATTATCGTTATTTCTTCAGCTGTAGGCACTTTAATCCTAAGTCCCAGACCGATCCAGCGGGAGCATGGGCTCAACACTGAAGACCTGAGCCAACTGCCGACTATCATGGAGTGACGACATATGAGTCTTCACCGACCACCGTAACGTAGGAGTTTAACAGGAATCGTACATGAATTTTACAGGAATCAGTTCAGTTTCACAGAACAAACACAGGAACAGGAGAATTTTCCCACGTTCCAAATAGGCCCTGAAGGAGATCGACGCCATGCCTCCTAGACAAGCAGGCACGCAGCGGCCCTTAGTGCATCGTCGTTAGACATAGTTTAGTGTTAATTAAGTGTGATTATTGATGAGTATGGATTAGGTGTTCATCTGATTTGGATAATTAAGATCTTGATTAAGAATTATGTCTAAGATTTGGTATCAAAGCCGTTTTAGGGCCTGTTCGGCAGGACTGAAAAATACTGTTCCGGCTGATTGTTGTGAGAGAAAAATACTGTTCTGGCAGGACGTGAACAGTGATTTCGTGAGAGATAGAACCAGCCAGCTAGCTGGCAACCAGCCAGCCGAACGGCCCCTTAGCCTATCTGTGAACCCTATTTTTCTATTATATTAAGTAATAATTAAGTTGAGATTATGTCTCTACATGACTAATTCTATAATTAATTGCTTATGTTAAGCCCTAAATCCTTCGGATTAAGGGTAATTGTGCCTCTGTTAGTCAAAATTAGAGAAGTTTACCAGCTAATTGATGTTCCGGTTAGCCCAATTAGTAGCTAGGGTTTTGGTGGGCACTGAGAGGGCGGGGTCGGCCATAATTAAAATCAAATTTGCAAACTAAGTCAATTCTTCTCAAATCTCGAAACCTTAGACATAAATCCCCAAAGTTCTTCTCCAAAATCAGAGATCCTGATCTAAAAAAAGCCCCAATTTTTCCCCAAAAGTTCAGAAGCTTAGTGAACGATGCTTGATTCAGTAGGGACGCAGTTTTGAACCCCTGAGGCTGTCTCCAACGATGCGACGCAGACGCAAAACTACGTCGTGCACAGTGTTCTCGCTAAAAAAATCAGCCTCCAACGGAAGACGCAAACACGCTACTCATTTTGCGTACCAGGCCAACGAGTAGGCAAATAAGGATCTTCTCTCTCCACCGACGCAAATCGCTGGCGCTGCTGCTCCGGCCGACGCGAGTCGCCGGGGGCTGTCTCCCACCGTGGAGGGGTCCGGCGGCTGGCACCAGCGCCGGCTGCCGGCGAAGCTAGACCGGACGAGCAGGCTCAGGCACACGGCGAACCCCGAGATCCCGTCCCTGCTGGCGCCCGCGCCAGCGCCACCGCCGCCATGCCGGCGCCGGTGCTGCTGCTGTCTGGCCGGCGACGGCGAGGGGAACCACCAGCTGCTGCTGGTGCCTCCGGGGGACTCAGGCTCCTCGTCCCCACTGCCGCTGCTGCTCCCACAGCCCCCGTCGGTGGCCTGGGCGCGCTCGGCGGCGAGCGCGAGGAGGCGGTCGCGGAGGCAGGGCGCGGGGTCGAGGATGGCAGCGACCGAGGCCGGGTGCCCAAGGCGGCGGGCTCGCCTGAGATTGGGATGGGGGCGAGCTCCATGGAGGATTGCGTTCGCTGTTGAAAACTAAAAGTTTTGGATCACGCACCTTTGTGCTGTTCGTGACCAAAGCAGCTATGCGTCATGTTTTTGGGTTCTGTCCGTGGGAGACAGTCTGAGCGTTTTCTCCAGTAGTTTGCAAGTTCTCAATAACGAGATGGCATGGTTTGGTTCAGAGAGAGAGAATTTGGACAAATGTATCACAATGTTTCTGTGCATCTCGCGGACACCGGGGGCACTGCCCAGCGCCGTCCGCCCCTCACCCGCCTCCCCCCGAGGTTGCGCCGCCGCCGCTGCCATCGGGCCGCCGCTCCGCCCTTGTTGGCTCGGATTCGGTGTCGCGCCAGCACGGGAGCCCCGCCGAGGCCAAATAAACCCTAGACCCGCAGCCCTGCTGCCGGTGCGACCGTCTCCGATTCCTGCCGCGCGTCGCATCTCCCAGGTACCTGCGCTCCGCCCCTCCCTCTTCTTGCCTACGGCGGCCCGGCGTTGGGTCAGCCCAGCACTGCACGGCACGAGAGCCCCGGCGTGGCCAAACCTTAGCGGCGCAGCACGGATGCCTGTGCGCGCGACGCCTCCGGCGCCAGCACTCCAGGTATTGGCATCTCTCCCTTCCTCGGACATCCGTCTCCGCGATACATATGCTGCCAGGTTCCTATCCCCATTTGTTTCTTTTTTTTATTCTTCTTTGTCTTCGTGGTGCTTCTTTCCTTCTTGTTTCAGCTTATGGGCCCCAAGATGATGTGGATTCTCCAGCATATAGCCTTCTCATGGTATGGAACAATATGGATTCTTGCAGTGCTATCCAATTTGTAGATGCTTGCCAGCACAAAGCGACCATTGTCACTATTGCCACTGAAAGAAGAGTTTGTCGCCTTGGTTACTAAATGATTTAGTGAACTGTATAATTAATAGTTCGTAATTAATAATCATGCATTTCAGTGCGTGTATAAGATCCTTCCATATATTTTTTTTCTATGCTACTAACATATGACCCTACCTAGAGAGAGTCAGGCTACAAAATCATTTGCTGACCACGACCACCAGAATTCACCACTCGAATTCAAGTAGGTAAATGCAGAACCGGAGGAAGAAGAAAAGCTCAGCAGAACTGGGAGGAACAAGGAAAGCTCAGAAAAACCACCAATGCGGCTTAAGGAATGATGTGAGTTTTTTACAGCCTACAATTCTCACTGTCTCTCTGAAATATGTGCTCCATGCTTACACTGATAGAAGATCCAACACTCAATACTTTAGTGAGACTTTTTCCCCTTTGAGGTAAAGACTTCTTCCACACGAGCACCAGAACTCACCACTTGCAGGACCTACGTTTAGTTCCTTTTTTTGCTTTGATCTGTATTTTTCTAAATGGGGACAATCTCACCTACTACCATTATCCCTCCCAAGGTGGCATGCTCATCGTAACTATCTGCTCACCATGGTATACATAGAAGAGATGGCAGTTATGGCGAAGTGCGATCATCTAACGACGTTCAATATGGTAGCAATTTTTGACCAAATAATTATTCTGCAGTTCAATATGGTTTCCACTAATGGAGCAGTTTGAATTGTTTCGAACAGGATTGAGGCTTTTGGTAGTCCAAAAGATGTGGGGGAAGTGGTGCTCAGATGGATTGCAAGGACAAGGCGAAGCCCGGATATAATGCTACTCTTATCGATGCCGCCTTGAGAGAAAACGCGGACAATGTGAAATACTACAAGCTAGAGTTCCGAGTTGAAAGCCCTTCTTTCCAACGACACAATGTTGCGGTGTGCTGTGCGAGGGATGGCAAGCTTTACACCATGAACGCACAAGCACCGGAATCGGCATGGAAAGCAGTTCAGAAGGACTTCTTTGCAATGGCGGATTCCTTCAGCTTAATGAACGACGCTTGATACAGTTAGGCACACGCAGTTTTGAACCGCCGAGCGTTTTCTCCAGTAGTTTGCAAGTTCTCAATAACGAGATGCCATGGTTTGATGTAGAGAACTAGGACAAATGTATCATATCATAATGTTTCTGTTATACCTTACAATCATGTCTGAAGTTTTCTTCTGCATGCATTGGATAGAGAATCAAATCTTATTTCATCAAGTTACTTCAAACTTCTGTCTCCATTTATTTACCTGAATATAAGTTTCAGATGTACTTGTCGGCCGTCTCCATGAGAAGTTCAGAGAGCTCCATTGGTTTTGAGAGCATGACCATATGATCAGCTCCCTGCAACCCCGTCACCTCCGTGCCGGGGTTCCACGACGCCATACGCCGCTGGAAGGCTGCCGGCACCGATGCGTCGTCCTCGGCGACGACGCACACCTTCCTCACGGCGCCGTACCGCTCAGCCGTCAGGACGTTCTCCGTCATGGTAGCGTCGTCTAGGAACGGCTGATACGGCCTCACCATCGCCATTGCCAGTGTCAAGTCCTGCGTTGCGCCCACCAGAGGAAGCAGCACACGTCAGATGGTGACGTGTGTGTGTGGCTCAGCAACTGGTGGCCATTGTCAGTTGTCACCTACCTCAGGGGGGCTGAGCTGGTACAATCTCTGCTTCAGGTACTGTGGCCCGAACCGTAATGTCTTCACGGGATGATGGGGGTCGCCGCTGGTTTCGAATTCGGAGTCCATGTAGCGATCCCCTGGCTGTTCTTGCAAAAACTAGAGTTCGTCAATCAGGAAATCATGGTTAGAGCTTGACCCTTTCTTGGTGTTTTCGACGAAACAATCAGACAATCCTCGGTCTCGGATTTCCATTTTGTTACCAGCTCGAAGACGAACGCTATCGGCTTCCCAGCGGAGGGCATGCCGGTCGAGACGAAGACGGCGACGGCGACCCTGTCCGGGTACCGCTCCATGGCTAGCGCGAGGTTCAGCCCGCCGAAGCTGTGGCCGACGAGGACCGCCTTCTCATCGGGCGGCAGGCCGGCCACCGCGGCCAGGAGCGGCCGGCTGTACTCGTCGAAGGACGGCACCTCCTCGGCGCGCCCGGGGCTAGCGCCGCACGCGGCCATGTCCAGCGCCGTCACGCGGTGGCCCGCGGATGACAGGAGGGTGGCCACCTTGTACCAGCACCAAGCGCCGTGGCAGGCGCCGTGCACCAGCACGAAGTGGTGCTGCTGCCGCTGCTGCTTCGTGCCGCTCTCCATGGTCCTCTACTCCTCTGTCCTTTGCGGCTGGTGGGATAAGGGCGCAAGTACACTTTGATCGGAGGAGGAAGAGGCGAAACATCCCTCTCGTCTTGTAAGATTTTTTTTTTAATTTTAACATTTTTTCGAAACTAATTTTAAATCTAACGCTCTCGGTTTTTTTTTAAACTAACACTTTTGGCCGCGTCTATTATCCTGACGCGGCCAAATGCCTGTGCCGCGCCATGCATGGTGGCGCGATTGAGGGTCGACGCGATGGCGGCGGCGACGAGGTTACCGATCACGGCGTGGCGAGGCTCTGCTGCGCGCGCCATCGATCTTGGCGCTGGCAGAGCCGGTATAGCCCAGCTGCGAGTCCGCTGCCCGGCGAAAGCAAAGAAGTCGCTTAGGCGCCGCCTCCCGCGCCCGCCACTGTCACACGCACGCTGGCGCCAGCACGCCACATTTAACGGCGGCGGCCTGCCCTCCATTGTTGCCTCCCTCCCTTCCCTTCCATTCCCCGGCCGCCTCCTCCCTCCTCGTCCTAGTTTAAGGTAATGACGCATATTTTATTTTCGTTTGAACGGTGGATAGGATATTATGAATGGGAGTTAAGGTTAGTAGAAAAATTATGTTTGGGAACTATGGTGAAGATATTAGTTTGATTTTGTCAATGTTAAGGTTAATTATTTAGTTAGAAGTATGTTTGCCATGTATATTTTTGTTGCTATAAATGTTTTGTAATATTTTAGTTGCATTGCAAATGATTACATTTTACATTAATTTGCGTTGTTTTGATTGATGTTTAATTTGAACTGTTTTATTAGATGGAAGACATGTTTCGGGAGCAGTTATGGCGAAAACGGGGTCGTCCTAGATAAATGTACCACGACGAGTCTAGCAAAGATGCCCCCGTCCCTCCTGAACTTCCTGTCTCTAATTGTGACTGTGGTCGTCCGACCGACGTGTTTCAATCGAGACATCCGGACACAGTGGCTCGTTGCTTCTACACGTGCAGTCGTTTTAATATAAGTAATTGTTTCCACTATCTTTTTCTTCTTCATTTGTATTACTAGATTACTAATATATTGTTGAATTTTTGTTGTGTAGGACCATGAAAGGTGCTTTTTCTTTCAGTGGATCGACGGTGCTGACAAGTTTGACCTCAGGTAGCTCCTTTTCGACGATTGGTGGAGAGGACGACATCCACGAGAGCACTTCGAGCGGTGGGTTCCACCTCCCCCTAACCCCCCTTCAATGACGGCTAAGGAGAAGCACTTAGCCGCAGTTAGACGACTCGAGAAACCTCCTCTGTGCCATTGCGGAGACCGAGCCATGATAAACCCTGACAATACGTTAGAGTTTGTGTATCCAAACAAGCATGAAGTAAGTGCAAAGTGCATGTGTTGAAATGTTGAGCTATATGTGTCATGTACTAATGTCACGTTATTTAGGTGTATTCAATGGCGAAGTGTCGTTTCAAGGAGTGGTTGTATGGTCCTAAGAACAAATGGCCCGAAGAACCTCCAAAAGCAAAACAAAAGAAGAAAGAAAGGTTAATTTACAAAGCACCACCAGTCAAGTGCGAATGTGGTGTTAATTCTAACTATGGCCTAGTCCCTTCGGAGCTTGGAATAGGCCATTATTGCGGCCATATGGTTGAGTACGAAGAGGTTCATTATTTTTGTGGTAAACATAAAATCGTATTTTGTTTATTTTGCTAACACATATATGATATAATATTTCTTTTGAATAGAGCACTAGAAAATGCAGGTGGGAACGTTACGATGGTCAAGCTAAGTTTTTGGATGAACTGAAGAAGAGGCAACTAATTGCAAGGAAGAGGGGATATAGACCTGACTACGTCAACTTATTCGTTAAACATCACAAAGAAAAGATGCGTGAGTTCGCTAGACAACGCGGTATTTGTAACCCGATCGATGTTGGGCTTAACAAATGGGGATTGGAGAGGCGGATGACGTTAGAGGAGGAGAGGGCAAGAAGGAGGCAAGGGAGGAGATAAGAGTACAGATGCAGGTCTTGAACGAGCATGTTGCTGCATTATGTGCTAGTGACTGCTTGAACGTCTTTTTTCGTTACCTAATTTTAAATGTAATATAATTGCTTTGCTAACTGATTGCATTTTATACATAAAGGAATTGGTTGTAGCGAGGATCATACCGCAGAGGTGGCTCGTGCAAGGTATGAGGAGAAGAAGTTAGATGAGCATAGATCGCGAGCTGGTCGCATCGTTCAATCCCCGATTGTGTTGTCTGATGAGGGGGACGAGGATGAGGACAACACTGGCAGACTTAGTGAGCTAATTGCTCTAGCAGAGGCGGGCTTGTAGGCGGAGGAGGATGAGGACGACACTGGTAGACTGAGCGAATTCATCGCTCTAGCAGAGGCGGGCTTACAGGCGGAGGAGGATGATGACGCGTTCTTCACTCAGGCCGCAGCGGCCGCAGATGAAGCGGAGGCCGCTTACTACAGGCGACAGGCAGGTCAGAGCAACGCAGGTGAGCCTAGCCACATCAATAGGGTTGTGGTTGAGGATTGGTACTCGGACGACGAGTTGCTTACTCAGTATGTTTCTGACCGATGGTTTTTGATTGCGCCGTCAATTAGTTCCATGCTTTATTAATAATCAATGTAGCTATGTAGTAGAAATTCTATTGTGTTGTCTTATATTCCATTTGAACTACTGATGTATTGTACCCATGTATCATGTACTCGGATTACCCATGATTGATCTTAAGTGATCACATCTGTTTGTATCATGCGTTCAAAATTTCTAAAACGAACGTAATCATTTGCCGCGCCATAGCCCAGGTTCTGGTGCTCCATAGGCATGGTTTTGTCGCACCAGAGCCCATGGCGCTTCAGTGCCGCGCCATAGACCACGGTGTGGCAGTGACGTGGACGGACAACGGCCAACTACAATTGAGTTGTTGTCGGTGCTGTACAAAACTACAAGTGCTGTACAAAACAAACATGAAGCAAATAAATGGACGACAAGTTGCCATACAACATTTTCATTGGTTTATGAGTCTACAAGTTTTCGACGACAATATTTGTCGGTGTTTTGGACCGAGGGGTCATCAACCAACTAGTAAATGTGAACTGCATGCCCCTAATCCTGGATGGTGATGCAAAAAGACACAAGGTTTATACTGGTTCAGGCAATCGGTGCCCTACGTCTAGTCTAATAGATTGATCTTGTATTCCTTGCATCGAGGTACTTGTAGTAGGGGGTTACAAGCTGGGCGAGAGAGGGAGCTGGTCCCAGGTCTCGGTGTGGTGCGGTGCAGGCTACTTGAGGCGTTGTTCTCAGGCAGCGGGGGGAGCGTGTGTTACTGAGTGTCGCTTGCGTGTGTGTGAGAGCGTGGTTCTTTCGTATGTTTTCTCCCTCTCCTAGAGCTATCCCTGACTGCTTCCTTTTATAGCCGCAAGGAGGGAGCCAGGAGTACATGAGTGAGCTACACGTGGAGCCTACTGTAGTTCAATCCTGTAGCAGCATAGTGTTGGGAATGTCGATCGGTACTTGACTGGCGCGCCGTGCTGGCCAGGCCTGAGGTTGTTGAGGTCGTGGGAGTCCTTGTTGACGTCTAGTCAGTATGGCCTCCACTGTAGGAGACATATCTTGCCTTGTGGATTCTTGACTTGGCAGAGTGCCGAGGCCTAGCGGGTGCTGTAGCTGATCGTGCCGAGGCCTCGGAGGTGACCCGTGTATGATGCGGGGGTCTTGGTAGTCAGCGTCTTACCCGGTTTAG